CTGGACGCGCGCGGGACTTTGGCCCGCTGCAGCGCCGCGTGAAGTTGTCTGGCGTAGCCGCGGGCTCGAGCTCCAGCGCTGGGCGCCGACGCTTTGCGCGGGGCGCGGCGCGGGCGCCTCCTCGCACGCGCCGCGCGCTCAGAGGAGGCGCAGCATCGGGCGCGTTGGCGGTCGACGGCCAGCGGCAGACGCAGCGAGAAAGAGGCGCTGGCGCAGGAGGCTCCGTAGGCGCCCAAAGCCCACCCCCAGACGTCTGCCGATTTTGTTCGGGCAGCGAGCCCAGCCTGATCGCGGGGCCGGGGCGCCGCGCGAGCCGCCCGCGCGGCCTCGGACGCGCGCCAGCGTCTCAGTGGATATTGCGTAGAATTTCCCAGCGGGCTCAGTGGGTTCACGGGGGCTCCGGCAGGACAGGGGCGTTAAGAGCTTCAACTTCGTTCCGATCAGAATTAGCCATGTTTTTTTTTTTCCAGAGAAACGATCAGGGCCGCGCCCCATAGCCCATCGAAGACCCGGCTGCGTTGGGCCAGTGCTGTGCCCGCCGCGAACCAGGATATATTATTTGTCATTATTCTTTTTCTTCGTCCATCCACGGCCGCCTTGGAACGCGCCTCTACCCGTGCGAATATTGATGCGTTTTGGGGCTTGCCGCTGCTGGCGCGCCTTGCAGTGCGGCTGATGGGTGAACCATGTGGCCGTGCCGTCAGAGATGGGTGCAGCATGCATGATGCGTGTTTTGTTTTGTTTGTGTGTGTGTTACCATAATTGACGGGTCAGCATCGGATCGCACTAAGGTCGGCGGGTATGACGTACGAGAGTGGAAACTAGTGAACTGAGCACGTCGGAGTTTATGTTGGACGTGTTGGGCGGAATTGTGCTCGACTGAGCTGCGGCGGGTTGAACTGGTGTGGATTGCGTGCGACCGCTGCGACTTCCAGATGAACTTGTCTGTGCTTCGCTGGACTCAGGTGGGCGACGCGGTTGGATTCGGCTGGGCTGAGATGGTTCTGGATGGGCCGGGGGTCGCAACGCATCGTTAAACTTGCTGGGGGCACCCTGGGGGGTCGAAGCCAGATTTGGCGAGTTGTTGATGGCGCCCACTGAATGCATGGAGGACGCGCTTTCGTGCGCATCGGTCGCGCTCAGCGCAATCGGTCGTGCGCGCGTTGTGACCAGCCGTCGAGGGCGCTCCAGGAGCCTTCCGAAATCTCAGCGAGCCCAAGTGTCTACCTCATACGGCCAGATGTAGCGCATGCCAGCCGGGTGGCAGCGCAATTACCCCAAATCGCGCTTGGCCAGCCCTGGTGGGCCCCGGCGGGTTCCGAGACGGTCCGAGAAGGTTCCTCGGGACGCCTCCTGCTGGTCCAGGTAGTCGCCTATATTTTCTCACTCGGACGGCCCAAGTGGACCCCAAGACGGCTCAAGAGAGTTCCAACAGGTCTCCGAGAGGCCAACAACGCGGAGCACTTTAACCTCTACTAAATGATTTTGACGATCTTCATACGCTCCAAGACGGCCCAACAAGATACCGAGATCGCCCCAGCGCGGCCCGCCACGCTCTCGAAAGGTCGCACGACGGCTCCACGACCGCCCACGCGGCCCCCGAGACGGCTCGAGAGGGCGCAAGAGGGCCCCAAGAGAAGGGGAATTCGACTTAACACCCCGTCCCAAGATGACCCCCGCGACCGCCGGCGGGCCCCCGTGGGCCCACCCAGAAGCCCCAGGAGGTCGCCAACATACCCAGATCAGGCCACGCGAGGACCCCGAGAAACCCCAAGACACACCCAACGCCGCCTTCAAGAAGCTTCCGATGGAAGATCCCTCGCAGGGCTCTGGGACCCCGCCAGCCTTTGTTTGATGCTGCGGCACCCGTCTGATTGGGCGATTCGTCCGGGAGTTCTCCCTGAAAGCGGTCCAGATCCATTGACCATTGGGGGCATGCTCCGCAGTGCCTTCTGATTTCTTCCGAGCCTACGCAGGCCGCGCGCCTTGTCCGACCTCCTCGGACGGCCGCAGCCACGATGGAATATCCTTGAGAATAAGGCGCGCATGCGCTTCTCAACGTCCAGCCTTGGCCTCCATACTGCCCCGAGCGGCTCAAAATCTTTCCAGGCCGGCCCAAGTCGCCTCCTCCCGCAGCCCCTGTTTTTTTGCCCCCGACGGCCCAGCTGGGCGCCGATGTGCCCGGAGAAGTTCCAAAGAAGACGCGAGAAGGCCTAGATTCAGCCCGCGAGACTCTCATTACAGCCTGCGGAAGCAAGCAGCAGCAATCTGCAACGGCAGGCAACAACGAAGCAAGCCAGCAAACCAGCAAGCAAGAAGCGAGCAAGCCAGCCTGCAAGCAAGCTAACAGGCAGACAGAAAGCAACAAGCAAATAAGCTAACTATACGGGGCGGCCGTCCGCAGGGCCGCCGTGTATAGACTGCATTGCCGCTGGCGGCACGCGGACACGACAGCGACACCCACCGTCTCCGCCCTAGGCCAGGCGGCGGTGGAGCTAGTGCGCGGGCACTCCGCCGCACGCACGGTGGCGCAGGCGTTCGTGGGCGCCCGCCCGCCGCCGCGGCTGTACTAGCTCGGCTGGTATCGCTGGACCGTGCCTCCCCTCCCGTCCTCCTCCCCTCCTCCGTCCTCCGCCTTTTCCCCTCCGTGGGGCACGATTTTCGCCAGCGCTTTAAAGAATAGCGTCGGGCACCCGCCTGTGCTAGGACAACAGCGTCCAGCATTGTCGCGGTTGTTTATGTGAAGAGTGCAGCCTCTCTGCCCCTCTGCCGTTCCATAGCGACTAGGCCGTTACCGCCAGAAATGCACGGATGGATTTAAAAGCGTCCTTTTCCAGCACCCCGAGAATGTTCAACAGCACGTTCCGGCAGAGCGTGTCCGGAACGTGCTGTGCACACTGCGCTGTTTACGGAGCACTCTACACGGCAGTCCAGAGGCCACGGCAACGGCGGGGCAGTTTTGTCAGGCCGGCCAGTGGGCCAGTGATGCAGCCGCGACGCTCGTCGAGGGCGGTCCTCCTCCCTTCCCTCCTCCATCCTCCGCCTCCGTCCTCCGCCTCCCCTCTTCCTTCCTTCCTCCCTGTTTGAATCATGGTGCATTTGATTGGCCGAAGGATTCCAGGACACGCTGCGCCCAGCAGCCGACTCGAACGGCCTCTCCCCCTCGTCTCTTTCCTCCCGCCCTCGCCTCCCGGAGGCGGAGCGCCGGCCAGCCCTGCTGGGGCGGGCCGGCTCTCCGCCTCCTCTGCCTGTCTCGTCCTCGCTTTCCCCCGAATGCTGGAGCTTCACTTCTGGACACCTTGTCCGTCGGAGTGCTATTTGTTCGTCGCGTCACTTTCCTTCCTCTCTCCTCTCCTTGCCGCTGCCGCCGCCGCCGCTTTCCACCATCTGCCATTGTGATAACTAGTTTTCTAGATTCGCTCTGTCGGGAGCTGCGCTCGGGGGGGATTTCCGAGTGCTAGGGCTTTACCTCTCTCTCCCTCCTCCTCCTCCTCCTCCTCCTCCTCCTCCTCCTTCTCCTCCTCCTCCTTCTCCTCCTCCTCCTTGGCATCTGAGGGCGAGGCTCTGAATGTGTTGTCATTCGTGGTTTCACTTGGTCGCCCCAGCTTTGGGCAAATGCCCGGGCAATGATTGTCACGGATAGCGCTTGCTTGTCCCGGCCGCGTGGCCGATGCAGGCATGTTCCCATTCAGGATGATACGTTTTGTGGGAATTTGTATCTTCAGGCAGGTGTGCTCTTCTCCCCCCTTCCTCGCTCCCCCCTCTGCCCGAGTCCCGGGCTATTGCAGGTTTTTGCCTCATCTCTGCACTGCGGCCGGCTCTCGTCGCGCGTTTGTTCCCCTCAGTTTTCCTCCTTCTCCTCACAAAATAGCGCTTGGAAAAAATAGAAACCAACAAGCAAATACAAACAGGCAAGCTGTTCGGAAGCAGCCTTAGCAGCAAGCAGTCTCAAGAAACGAGCAGCAGACGTGGACTCCTCGAGCCTCCAACCGAACGCCCCCTCAAATCAACGAGGTCTCAAAAAATCGCTCTCTTGACCCTGGGAGGTCATCTGTCTAGATTGGCTTTTGCATTCCAGATCGATTCTCGACGGCCCCAGAGCCCGAAAACAGCCCCCAGAGTACTGCAAGAATGGCAAACCTCGTCGAACCTCGACGCTCCTCGCCCATCTCCCCTCGGCCATCGCTCCTCCCTTCTCGCTCCTCGCTCTTCGCTAACGTCCCATCAGTCATTCCTAACGCTGCCCTCGCCCTTTTCAGCTGACTGCCCTCTCTCATGGCAGGGCTGAGGACTGACGCGGAGGGGCTGTCTCCGTTCGCTTATTGAACGCAAAACGCGCGCGAGGCCTTGCCCCTCTCCTGGCCGGCCGCATTGCTTGCGCACACTCACGTAAGCCCGCTTAACGAACACGAATCGCCAAGAAGCCATCAGTGGGCCAGTGTATATCCGCCTCTCTTGAGCTACGCGAAGAATAAGAATAACAACAATTTAACATCGAGAAACATTTGCCGAATATGTAGATGGGTCGGCGAAACACCCCATTGTCTCTCACCCTCGATCTCCTCGATGCTCTCGATCCTGACTCCTCGCTCTTCGACCCCCTCCAGGCAGCAGGTTGCGTCAGAACGCTGGCGCAGTAAGAAACATCACCCTGCATCAATCAACAGCAGCAGCGGCGAACGGCAGCAGCGCGAAGCGGGCAACAGCAGCGGGAACGCACAGCAACATCAAGCAGCAGCAGGCAGCGGGCAGCAGCACGCACAAAGCACAATTTGCTATCGGCAGCACGATGCTGCCACAAGCAGCAACAGCACGCAGCAACGGTACGCATTACCAACAGCACGCAGCAGCGACAGCAATCAGCAGCAGGCAGCATGCGCAGAATGCGAACGAAGTTCAAGCGGCAAGTCATCACGTCAGCGTTTCGGCAGCATGTCCACCGGCACGTGCCAGTTCTTGCAGTTTTCGTGGACGTAATTTACGGGCCAACCCTAGTTCAGCTACAATGCTGGGATCAGCGCGTGCGAGAAATCCTGGCAGTGGCAACATGCGCTGTTATTACTTTGCGAAGCGGTGAATGTGGAGCTGAGCGGGGACCTCATCGGCTATAACGCTGCAATTAGTGCATGCAGCAAGTGTGGGCAGTGGCAACAGGCGTTGTCCTTGCTTAGATGGGGGGCTGAGTTTCAGCCGAACGTTGTCAGCTACTGTGCTGGGATGAGCGCGTGTAGCAGAGGCGGGCAGTGGACGCGGACGGTATCGCTGCTCAGGGAAATGCGGGATAAACATTTGGAACTGGACATTGCTGTTTATTCTGCTGGAGTTACCTCGAACGAGATGGGTGGCCAATGGCAGCAAGCGCTGGTGTTGTTCGGACAGGCACGGGAGGTACAGCTGGAGATGGATATCATTTTTTACAATGCTGGGATTAGCGCGAGCGCCGAAGGCGGATCCTGGTGGTTAGCTTTGTCGTTGATTCAGGAGTCGATGGATGCAAAGCTGGAACCGGACACCACAAGCTACAACACTGGTATAAACGCGTGCGTGAAAGGTGGTCAGTGGCAGCACGCGTTGTTGTTGTTCAGGGGTTTATTGCAGGCGCAGCTGGAGGCAAACGTGATCAGCTACAACACTGGCATCAGCGCATGCTGCGATGAAGGGATGTGGCAGTACGCTATATCGCTTCTCAGGGAATTGCGGGAGGTGGAGTTGGAGCCCGATATCATCAGCTACGCTTCTGGGATCAGTGCGTGCGGGACGGGCGGGCAGTGGCTGCAGGCGCTGGCGTTGCTTAGGGAGCAGCGGAATGTGAAGTTGGAACCTTGCATCATCAGCTACGTTTCTGCAATCCATTCGTGCGACAAGGGCGGGCAGTGGTCTCAGGCGCTGTCGTTGCACCGGGAGTTGCGGGAGGCGCAGCTGGAGCCGAATCCAATCAGCTACAGTGCTGCACTGTCCGCGTGCTCAAGACAAGGCCAGTGGGAGCATGTGGTATCCCTATACAGCCACATGATGAAAATCAACGTGGAAGCTAGCAGCACCATCTACACGCAAGTCATTTCTGCAACGCTTTGTAAGGGCGTGGTGGAATCTAAGGACATGCCAGGCGGACGCATTGAGGTGCACTCCCATGCCGCACCTGTGTTTGATGCTGCGATTAATTCTCTCGTCGCTGCTTTGGCTAATCAAAATCGCCATCCATTATCAGTCCTCTCCCCCGTGCTCCTCCTTTCTTCCATTATCTGGTATTGGACAGTGCTGGTGCACATAGCGCCCAATCCACGCACAGATGCGAAGAGGCATAGTGGGCAATAATGGTGAACATACTTACGGAATGGTGAGCCGTTGAATGTGTGTTGCCTACGCGTGCGAACAAGTTGCTTCTGTTTACAATAAGCACACCCGTGCGGATAAACGTGACGGCATCGACGAAGCTGTCATCTGTTAGGACGCCAACGGCGACGTTGTTGGCAACGATGACAACGACAGCGTCCACGACATGCCAAGATAACCATGAACTGCAACGCATGCGTGCGTTCCAGGAAACGACAGCGCTGCCACATGGCACGACAGCCTTTAAGTTCGGGGCCTCTCTGGCGGCGGAGTGTAGGTGTCCTGCCGTGCCTGCTTGTGTCCAAGCTGACTCCGATTGCAGATCGCCAGCACGCATTACGTTGGGTAGCCAATCCGGGGTCGCGGCCTATGCAATCACAGCAAGCTGCGAAGCGTCTGGCCAGGAGCATGACGCGGCAGCCCAGGCTGCGGCCCAGAGCCTCACAGCAGTGCCTGTGGTCCAGAGGGCTGAAGGAGCGGCTTGACGCCCTCGGGTCGCAGGGCCGCTGGGTAGCGCTGGGCCGTCGGGAGCTTGCACCTTCACCTCCTGCTTACTATTATTTCTGGGTTCTACATATACACTATGGCCACAGAGCCAGTGCCGAACAAGAAATGATCGCGTTTTATGTTCCCGCAGTAGCTTGATGTCGTGAGAGCTGAAGGTGCTGCGAGATGCCAGATGATTGCTCGATGCTGCCCCCTCCGCCCCACGCGGCTCGGCCTTACAGGTGGTTGAAGCCCTCTGCGAGGCTATAGCCCGTCACGTATTGGCGCCCCCCTCCATCCCATTCCCATGTAGTTGCATGCGTCCTTGACGCACCACCAGACATGTCCGTAGGGAGGGCCAGGACTTTCGCTTGAGACCTCCCCACCGTGTATGATCCTGGAGCCGAAAATTAGCAGCACGTGCACGCATGGAGGGCGGGCCCGCCTTTCCAAAATACGGTTATCGCTTTTTTGCGCAACAGCTTCTGTGCTGTGCAACAGCTCCACGGATGAAAGGCGTGCCTGCGTCAGAACGCAATTCTCGCCTCGGCGCTGCGCGCACTCGTATTGACCATGCCACGGCTTCACGGATGGAGGGCGGCTCCTTGCTAGTGTGTGGTTTTCGCTATAGCGCCACGCGCACGCGCCTTGAAATGATGGTTCGGCCGTTCGCAGGATTCGCATTGTCGACGTCGCAGAAATTGTGTTCTGGCACGAATTGGGATGGTAAGGGCGCAACAGTCCAGTTGACTCGCGGTGCTTAAATATAAAGATCTTGTCCTGGAGCGATTGGGTCCCTGGGTATTCAGTGGGGCACTGTTACCGCAATGAACATTGGGTTAATGAAAAGGGGGTGGCGAGGAGGGAGTTTGGGGGTAGGGCGTTTTGGGTTTACACCTGTCCCTGTCCTCCTCCTTGTTTGCCCCTTCTGGCGAAAGCTGTGCCTCCTCCCCTCTTTCGTCCTCCTCCGACTGAGCTCAGCTAGCACGGGGGTGTTGCGATCATAAATCGGGCCTCACGCCGCGGGGGACAATCTTCCACCCGACGTTTGGTTGACGCGCACGGCAGGTCGCACAGGGAAGTTTCAGTGTCGCGATGTGGTTTGGGCGATGTATTTCGGTTTCGGCCCGGCACCGTTCGTCTTCCTCCTCCCCTCGTCTTCCTCCCTATCGCTTACATATAAATCTCCATGTTTTGACGCAGTGCCTTTTTCTTCGTCGTCGTCGGCCTCCTCCTCCTCCTCCTCCTCCTCCTCCTCCTCCTCCTCCTCCTCCTCCTCCTCCTCCTCCTCCTCCTCCCTCTCCCCCTCTTTGCCTCCGCGGGCCGCGCCGCGGGTGCAGGCCAGTAGTGTCAAACCGCCAGAGCGGATCCTCCTCCTCCTCCTTCTCCTCCTCCTCCTCCTCCTCCTCCTCCTCCCCGTTGCCCTTGCGCCTGGTGTTCGCCGTGGTCCCTTCGGCGATGCCAGCTGCTTCTGGGTTCTTTCTTATGGCTCTTCTGTGCTTGGGTGTCTTGTCATTTCCTTCCCGTCCTTCCTTCGCGCGCCAGTGTCCCCATTTCTCGTCCCCCCCGGTACCAGGGTGTTGGGTGTTGGCCGTTTCCAATCGAATGCGGTGACTAACCGAGTGGCGGAATTCGGTCTCGCGGTCTTGGGGAATCTGGCATCTTCTTTGCGCTACCTGACTCCACACCATTCCTTCTCCCTCGGCGGGATCTGTTCGGGGCGGCACGAGGCGCAAGGAGATTCCGATCAGAGACTGCCACCTGCAGCGCATCCCCCCCCTATGAGGTCTGCGGCTGCGTGTGTTCGGTGCCCTGGAAGGCGAGCTCGCGGGGGGGGGGGGAGGGAGGGGCATGAAATAGAGTAATCCCAGGGTGGCACGTGGGAGCAGGAGGAAGAGGAGGCGAGGAAAGGCAAGGTGAGGGGGAAGTGGAAGGTGGAATCGGGAGGGGGGGGAAATGGAGAGTGGGGTAGCGGCGTACTGAGAAGAATGGTGCAGGGGATGGAAGGGCAGGGAGATTGACGATGAAGGGGCGTAGTGACAAGGACGAGGGCGATAATGGATAAAGAAGCAGATGAAGCTTGGCGCTGGCGGTAACAGGACGGGGACAATCAGGGATGAAGGACCACAGGGCCTAGAATTGTGCCGTAAGGCGCGTGCAACTGATTCCTGGGGCATGGCCACAAGTATTGTAGAAACTAGGCGCCTTGCTCGGAGCAGAGGAGTAATCAGGAAAAAGAGGAGACGATGGAGGAGGAGGGATAGGAAACGAAGCACTTGCCGCTGCTCGCGGTGTTTCTTTCTGTGCGTGGGCGCGGCAGCAGCGGTATCGATGGCCCCCCTCTCAGGCGCTGGGTGGCTCGCTTCATTAGCGGAGGTTGGCTTGGCGAACCAGCGATGGGCACAGAGACCTGGGACACGCGGGACTCCTGTTCTGCTTTCTTCTCCTCCTCCTCCTCCTCCTCCTCCTCCTCCTCCTTCTCATCCTCCTCCTCCTCCCAGGGCCAACGAACAATGGGGGGGGTTGGGAAAGAGGGGAGCGAAGTTTGCTGCGTGCAGCTGGTTGCGACTTTGCCGCCCGGCTCTCTCTTCAATACGTGGCGGCCTCCGGCGCCTGGAGGCGCTGGGGACACCTCGTCCTCCCGGGGAAGCGCAGAGGAGGAGGAAGAGGAGGAGGCGAGGAGGATGAGGAGGCGGACCAGTGTAAACCCAAGACGCATCAACGATGTTGCAATCCACCCTCCCTCGCAGTTCCTTGTTGATAGGTCCCTACAGCATGTAATCTTCATTGCGGGAACTGGCTCATCAGAAGACAGTCAATTGATAATCCTCAATGGTGCCAGAACACCATTCATGAAACTTCAACGCCTCGGGTCAATGTGATTGTTGCGCCCTGGCAGTCCTAGATCGTACGAGAACACCATTCCTGGGAACTCAACGCCGCGAATCAACGTGACGACTGCGTCCTTACAATCCTGAACTGTGCCAGAACACAGTTCCTGGGACTCCGACCGTACGAATCCACCAAGCTGCTGCGCACTGTGAAGACGAATGCGCGCGGCACCAGGGCAAGAGCAAGAGCAACATGACCATATCTGGCGAGGAAGTCTCAGGCGAAAAGACCCGGCACACACTACCGACATAATGGGGATACGATAGGGAGGATTTGTTTAAAAGGGAAAGGGGTGGAGGAGAGGAGAGGAGAGGAGTGGGGGGGGGGGGGCAGGGAGTTGAGGAGGGAGAGGAGGAATGATGATGATTAGGAGGAGGAGGAAGAGGAGCAGGAGGAGAAGGAGGAGGAGCAGCAGGATGGGAGGGGAGAGGAGCAGAGAATCTGGGGAGGAAGATGAGGAGAAGCAGGGGTGGAAAAGGAACGAGCAGAAGGAATGGACGGAGGAGGACGCGGAGGAGGAGGAGGAGGAGGAGGAGGAGGATGAGGAGGAGGAGGAGCAGGAGAAGGAGGTTAGGAGGAGGAGGAGGAGGAGGAGGAGAGAGAGGAGGAGGATGGGAAGCAAGAGGTGAGACGGGTGGAGGCGGAGAAGGAGGAGAGGACAGGGAGGTGAGGAGGAGGAGGAGGTAGAGGAGGAGGAGGAGGAGAAGGAGATGGAGAGGAGAGAGAAGCAGAGGAATATGAGAGAGGAATAGGAGGTGAGGAGGAGGTGGAGGAAGAGGTAAGGAGGGAGGAGAAGGAAAATGAGGGAGCGGAGGGCGAGAAGGAGGAGGAGGAGGGAGGAGGAGGAGAGGAGGAGGAGGAGGAGGAGGAGGAGGAGCAGGAGGAGGAGGGGAGGAGGAGGAGGATCCTTCCGTCTATCCATTTAGCGCTGTAGGCATCATCATAGACATGCTATACTCTCCGGCACAGTGCTCCGTGCATTATGCTACGGGCAAGGTGTTACGTCTACGGTGTGTATCACGTCCACAGTTCAGTGCCCCGCCGCTACGCCCACCCGCCCTCCTTCCTCTCTGAGGCCTCTGAGAGGAGTGCGGGTGGCCCTCCTCTCCCCCTCCCCCTCCGGATCTGATCTGCCGTCGCGTTGCCGTCGCGCCCCAGGGGCGCGCGGCGGGCGCGGGGGGCGCTCTGGGTGCCGCTCGATGGCGCTGCGAGGGCGAGGGTTTCCACTTCACGCTGCCTGTGAGCATCTTCCCACCGCAGGAGAAGGATGGAGACAAACACGATGGAAAGTAAGACTCGCTCAACCACGTAATTCGCTCCATACTGCGCCGATCCGAAAATTTCCCCGGTTTCGCCACCGTGCTCGCCGCGGCCATCTGGGGTGGCGCGCGCAGGATAAGACTCGCGGGGCCCGAGGGCGGATGGGGGCGATGTCGCGAGGGCAGAGTCGGCGCGCCGATGGGCAGCCCAGCACCCCGTTTGGCCGGAGGGGCCCAGTACAATGCAAGGGCAGAGCCTACCCTCCGCCCGGGGTCGCGGCATCGGGTTCCCCTTCCCAATATACAATTTTAAATCCCAAACGGTGTACTGACCCGAAAATGAGCAAACGGCACAGGACTTCCTCGAAAAACGTTTTCGGGTCCGGCCATACGACGACCCGAAAAGTTTACCGGCCGACCTGCAAGTGGCCAAATACCATCGGACTGGTGCCCGAAATTTAGCTTGGCGAAGGACCCATCCATATACAGTTGTGAATACCGTCGTTGTGATTATCGCAGTCGGTGGTACTCTCTATGGGCCAAGGAACGCTGTCCTGAGTGGGGGAGACGCATGCGAACTGTGCCACTGGGACTTCGGTGGGGCTCCCTGTGGGGCCACGAAGCGCTGTCCTGGGTGGGGTGGGGGAGACGCATGCTGCCCCCCCACTGGGGTCTTCGGTGGAGTTCCCTATGGGGCCACGAAGCGCTGTCCTGGGCGTGGGGGACGCATGCGCCCCCCCCCACTGGGGCCTTCGGTGGGGCTCCCTATGTGGCCACGAAACGCTGTCCTGGGCGTGGGGGACACATGTGGCCCCCCCCCACAAGGGCCTTCGGTGGAGGTCCCTATGGGGCCACGAAGCGCTGTCCTGGGCGTGGGGAACGCATGTGACCCCCCCCCACTGGGGCCTTCGGTGGAGCTCCCTATGGGGCCATGAAGCGTTGTCGTGGGCGTGGGGGACGCATGTGGCCCCCCCCCCACACTGGGGCCTTCGGTGGAGCTCCCTGTGAAGCCACTAAACGCTGTCCTGAGGTGGAAGCATGTGGCTCCCCCCCACCGGGGCCTGCGGTGGAGCTCCCTATGGGGCCACGAAGCGCTGTCCTGGGCGTGGGGGACGCACGTGGCGCCCCCAATGGGGCCATCGGTGGAGCTCCCTATGGGGCCACGAATCGCTGTCCTAGGCGTGGGGACGCATGTGGCCCCCCCCAGTGGGGCTTTCGGTGGAGCTCCCTATGGGGCCACGAATCGCTGTCCTGGGCGTGGGGGACGCATGTGGCTCCGCTCCCTGTGGGGCCACGAAGCGCTGTCCTGGGCGTGGGGGGCGCATGTGCCCCCCCCCCAATGGGGCCTTCGGTGGAGCTCCCTATGGGGCCGCGAAGCGCTGTCCTGGGCGTGGGTGCCGCATGTGCCCCCCCCACACTGGGGCCTTCGGTGGAGCTCCCTGTGGGGCCACGATGCGCTGTCCTGGGCGTGGGGGACGCATATGTCCCCCCCCCCCCCTGTGGGGCCTTCGGTGGAGCTCCCTATGGGGCCATGAAGCGTTGTCGTGGGCGTGGGGGACGCATGTGGCCCTCCCACACTGGGGCCTTCGGTGGAGCTCCCTGTGGGGCCACGAAGCGCTGTCCTGGGCGTGGGGGACGCATGTGGCCCCCCCCTGTGGGGCCTTCGGTGGAGCTCCCTATGGGGCCATGAAACTTTGTCCTGGGCGTGGGGGACGCATGGGGCCCCCTCCCACGGGGGCCTTCGGTGGAGCTCCCTATGGGGCCACGAAGCGAGTCAGCCATGGCGATGCCGATGATGACGATGATTGTAATGATGATGATGCGGCTGATGATGATGATGATGATGATAATGATGATGATGGTGATGATGATGATGATGATGATGATGATGGTGAGGATGATGATGGGAGGAGGGGGTGAGCTGAGACATTCGGAGAGCAAAGGCAAGGATAGGGGAGGAGGGAGGAGGAGGAGAGGAGGAGGAAGGAGGTGGGACGCGGGGCGCTGTCTCTTCAAAACGAGGACCCAACACACCCCAAGATGGTTGGGAAAAATGTTCGTGTCCGGTTCGAACGACCCAGAAATGTGGAAACCGCTTCGGACCCCTTGCAAAAACATCGTTCTCGAGGTCTTCGGGCCCACTCCGAAGAAACCGAACATGGGCACACCGCCCAGAACTTCCTATCAAAAACGGTTCCTCGGTGGTTCCGGGCCTGGGGCCGCCGATAGGCAGACCGCCCAGGACTTCCTGCAGAAGAAATGGTTTCCCGGGTGAGCCATTGTCAACGGGAGCGCGCCCCGCGCGGGATCGGGGTTCGCACGGGGGCGCGGCTGCTCTCGCCTGTCCAGGGGGCATGCATTGCCGCGCCCTTCCGGCATAGCGCTTGCGCTGCATTCGCGCGGCGCCGTGCCCCTCAAATCGGAGTAAATTTTCGGAGCGCCGATGTATTGCCAGAGACTCACCAGATGAAGAAGGCCGAGCAGCATCGTGCCACCAGTCCAAAACACAATCCAGTGTGAAAATGGGCAGGGGCATGCCGATCAGCGGCGCGAGCGAAGCAGCCGGACAACATGTGCACGCCAATTTATCAGCTGGAATGCCAGTAGATATACAAGCTGGGACGACCATGCACTGATACACCACGAAGCAACACTGAAGACGTGCCTTACCTCTTACTTACCAGCAGCCTCAAACATGCATCGGCAAAAAGCTGCACCCGTGCCGAAGCGCAGCACCCTCAAGGGGTAGGCGATGCGCAGACAGGGGGAGCAGCAATACTCCACGCCACCAGGATGAATAATCTGCGGGCGAAGAGCACGAAGGCCAGTGCCAAACAGCAGTGCTAAACACACACACACACACACACACACACACACGCGAGCAAACGACCATGGCAGCCACAAAACTGTAACCTGGAAGGCGACGACGCCGTAGCGAATTCCTCGGGCGTCCACCGTGGACGCGAACTGCAAAACGACCGCGGCGCTCAAATAAACATACGTCTGGTCCTGCCTTGGGGCACCGCGGCGAAGGAAGCAAGCTCATTCGAGCCTAACTGGCCCGTGCCGAGATGGCACTTGAGCAAAGATGGCTACGGAGACGGAGGAGGAAGAAAAATAATGGGAGGAGGAGGAGGACCAGGAGGAGGAGGAGGAGGAGGAGGAGGACAAGTGTATACCCAAGAGTCATCAATGATGTTGGAATGAACCCTCCCTCCAAGCTTCCTCTTCGTAGGCCCACACAACGGTTCACTTCCATTGAGGGAATTGCCTCGTTGGAAGGCAACCGTTTGAATCCTGAAGCGTGCCAACACATTGCTTTCGGGATTTCAACGCCATCTATCAACCTGAATGCTGCGTCTTGGCGATCCAGAATCGCACCAGAACGCCAAATTTGGGATTTCATCACCGCGAATCAACATAACTGCTGCGCTCGCATAATCCTGAACCCTTCCAAAACATGATTTCTGGAACGCTGATCATGGGAAACCGTGGGACTCTTGCATTGTTTTAAAACGAGTGCACGCGGCGCCGAGGCGAGAACCACATTTTGAACAAGGAGCCAGCCTCAATCCACGAAGCATTTGCAAAGTTTAAAGAGAATGTCCGTGGCGAAAGCCACATTCCGCAAACGATCCGCCCTCAATCCGTGAAGCTCTTGCAAATATTGAAAACGAATGTGCGTGGCGCTCAGGCGAGAGCCTCATTTTGAAAAGGTGCCGCCCCCAGTTCGTGACACCCTCGGAACCCTGAAAACGAATGTCCGCGGCGCTGAGGCGAGAGCCAGATTTTGAAAATGACCCGCCCTCAATCCGTGAAGCTCTTGCAAATTGTTTGAACGAATGTTCGCGGCGCTAAAGCGAGAATCACATTTTGAACACGACCCGCCCTCAATCCGTGAAACTCCTGCAAATATTCAAAAGGAATGTGCGCGGCGCTAAGGCGAGAGCCTCATTTTGAAAGCGACCCGCCCTCAATCCGTGAAACTGTTGTCATATGCTATGCTTCGGAGTCGCTATTGGTGAGGAAGTCTCAGGCGGAACGCCCGGCCCGCCCTAAAACTTGCCTCGGGGGTGCGACAGGGAGAAGTTATTTACAAGGAAAAGGAATGGAGGAGGAGGAGGAGGAGGAGGAGGAGGAGGAGGAGGCGAGGGCGCAGGAGAAGGAGGGAGACGAGGAGGGAGGGGAGGGAGGGAGGGAGGAGGGAGGGAGGCGAAGAAACTCCTCTTGAGGATGCGCAGGAAGCGCAGGGAGCGAGAGGTGCGTGGGGGGAGCAGAGCCGGAACCCGTCCACGCCAGGCCGCCGCCTGCTTCTTGGACAGGCTCTTCGAAACTGGCAGGCCACGCCCGCGCTCTCGTCGGCGGGGTGCGTCGGTCGCCATGGAGCAAGCCGCTCCTGACCCAGACCCCCCCCCCCAACCCCACCCCCGGGCGCCGTGAAGAAATCACGGCGAATGGTTTTTGCTGGTTTTCTGCCTCCTGGGACTCCCTTACCGGTCCGCGGGACCGTCGCAGAACGATCCAGGATGGTAAGCCGGTCCCTGGAAAAGAGGTCCAGACTTTTGGGGTCTACGCTATGAGGGGGAAAAAAAACATGGTTTCGGGGGAATGCGGAAGGAGACGGGTGGAGAAGGAGAAGGAGGAGGAGGAGGAGGAGGAGGAGGAGGAGGAATGAGACGGGTTCTGAGGTCTGCTCAAGTTTTGGGGCCCTCCACGGGCTAGAGACGGCTCTGGATGCAAAAAACGGGTTCGGGGGGGACCCGCTTGCTTCATGCCTTGTCGGCGCGGCGTGGACAAGAGGGATGAGGATTCGGGGTGGTCTTGGAGGTTTTCGCGACCTGGGGTGCTTTCCAGCAGCTGCGCCTCGTCGAGAGCGGTCTGGGGGTTCCCCGGTCGCCCCGAATGTCCGCCGAAAGCCCGAGTTATGACCCGGAAGCCACCAGGCGTTGAGGGGGTGCGGACGACGGTCAGGCAGTTTGGCTAAGCGTTTCGCTCCGCATATTCTGGCCCACCACGCTTCGGGGCGACACGTTATCTACGTTAACGTCCCGAGCCTTTCCCAGCCACCCGCCCCACGGAGCGGGGCGACACGCCATCCGCTTGCAAGGTGTAGCGTGTCACCGCGGCCGCCGCCGCGACACGCCACGCAACAGCAGGGGAGCGTGAATGTCATTCATGACTGGGGCAAAGGAAAGCTTCCCTCTCCTTATTCTTCTAAAAATTCCTCTTCGCTTAATTGTTATAATTGCTATTCGTCTTCTTCTTTATTCGTATTATCATCACTATGTTTTCTCATTGTTCTTCTTATTATTATTCTTCTTCTTCGGTGGGTGTTGTGGCCCTCCCTCGTCCTCGCACGTGCCTCGGGCAACGATGCGCTCACCCTCCTCTTCCTGGTCCCCCTTGCGCCTGGTTGCGGCAGGGTCGCGCCGCCTCGACGCGGCCGCCTACGCCAGCTTTGCCAGGGAGGGCGTGTATCGGCTGCACGCGGATGTTCGTAGAGGGGGGACCCAAGGCGGGGTTTAGGAGCGAATCCAGCTGAATGCTGACGCTTCCTTCTTCAGGGGCCGTGTGGAGCGACTTGCTCCTCAAAACTCCACCTCTGCCCGTACCCTACGCCCCCCCTGGAGGGACCCTTCGCGGGAGTGACCTGTTGTACGAGCCCACCAGGTCCCCCGATATCTGACAGCGATGCTATGGCAGCGGTTTGCGCGCTCGGGTTTGGCCCCCGCACCCCGCGCCCGCTCTGAAGCCGCGCGCCAATGGTCACTCTTTCTTGGGGTGGCTATTGCACGTCACCGAGTATGCACCGATCCTGGGCGACCCTCAGCGCGGGCGTCCAAGGTTGAGCGCAGCGCAGAGGCCCGGAACCGGCCGATATCGAGCGGCCTGCGTCGTCGGAAGGCCGCGATCGCTCCACGCTGAGGGCTCCACGCGGTGTTTGAAGCCACCGTGCAAGCCGTCACGACACGAGCTCGACAAGGCGGCGGCGCCGGCGAGGGCGGCGGTCAGGGTCGTAGCGCCCCTCGGGCGGGGGGGGGAGGGGCGTTTCGGGCCCTGGGGTCAAAGAAGACAGCTCACGGCACGAAGCCCACTCTCTCTCTCTCTCTCTCTCGCCCTCTCTTTCTCTCTCTCTCTCTACATGTGTATACACATGTATATATATATATATATAGATTTGCATAGCGACATGCATGAATCGACTTACTTATATCTACATATATCTGTGCACGAATGAGCACATATGCATATCTTTCCGTATTACAGACGTATACAAGTATGACGTAGTTATGTCTGCCTGTATGTCTATGTGTATATATGCCTGCATGTATACCTCTATATATATATACACATACATTTATATATATACACAAGACATTGAAGTTGGCATGCAGGCGGAATAGCAGGAAGGTCAAGCGGACAATTTAGCGATAACTCTTTGTTGCCTTTTCTGGCATCGCCGCTATACGAATGTTATTCGGTATCCTTCCTCCATGCTTCGTTTCCCTTATTTTCGCCATGCGCTGGGCATTCTCCTCATCCTCCTCAGCTCTTTTTTGCGGAGGCTCCTCCTTGGAGAGCCTCTGGGGGCCTCACACAAGTTGTTTTAGGTTTTCTTAAGGCCTTCTTCTGGAGGCCTCCTGGGCGCATTCTGGGGGAATCCGGGGGCTTCCTCGGGCCACCCTGCCTCCAACCGCGGTCTCCCTGAACGACCGGGTCACGATTTCGAATGCTTCGGAGGGTGTCTTTGGGCCATTTTGGGCCGCCATGGGGCTCTCTGAGGGCCATTTTGGACCCGTGTTGTGCCGTTTTGGGGCTCTCTTGGTCTGCCTGAAGCCCTTTCGGATGGTTGTGGGCCGATTTTGGAGCCTCCCAGGCGGCTTCGGACGCCCAGAAGATCGCCGTCTTGGAGCGTCGGGAAGCCGAAAAGAGGAGAACCCCAAAATTCACAAAAAAACAACAGAAAATTACTGATTTTTGCCTCGGGGGGCCTTCTTGGAAATGCTCCTGGAGCCCTCTTTGGGGCCGTCCTGGAGGCTTCTTGGGCCATCTTGAGCTCACGTCGGTCACTCTTGAAGCGCTCTTGTGCTGTCTTGGGGGTCTCTGGGACGTCTCCGATGACCCGCCTGATCGCCGTAGGTGTGCTGGGAAGGTTTGGCAAAACGCCCTGCGAGGATCTGGGGGCCGCTTCGAGGCCCGTCCGGAGGGTCCCAAAACCCCAGATCCCGGGAGTCTGGTTTTTTTTTGGGGGGGGACTGGTTTTCCCCCCGCCCCGGCTTGTAAAAAGATAGGAAGAGGAATAAATGCGTATGCATGTGTGCAGGTGTGTGTGTGTGTGTGTCTGCCTGCCTGTTTGTCTGTCTGTCTGCCTGTTGGCCTGTCTGGCTGTGGGTGTCTGTGTACCTGTAGGTGTATGTCCATGTATGATGTATGTATCTATGTATGTATGCATGTACGTGTGTATGTATACATGCATGTATGTATGTTTGTGTGCATGTATGTATGAAGGTATGTCTGTACGTATGTATGTATAGTTGTGCGTCTGCAGATATGAACGGACGTATGCATGTGTGCATGTACGCATCCGTGTACGAATGAATGCACATGCCTATGGATGTATGCATGTCTGTACGCATGTATGGGTGCATGTATATATATATATATATATATGTATATATATGTGTATATGTATGTATGTATGTATGTATGTAAGTATGTATGTATGCATGCATGCATGCATGCATGCATGTATGTATGTATGTATGTATGTATGTATGGCATGTATGTATATGTGGCTGTGCGCATGTATGTGTGGATGCCAGCCTGTCGGTCTGTCTGCCTGTCTGCTAGTCTGTCTGTCTGTAGACATATTCATACCTATGTACACATATATACACCTGTTGTGATGCATGCGTGTTCGTATGCATGTATGTATGCATGCATGTGCTATATGTATGATTGTTGCGTGTATGTATGTATGTATGTATGGATGGATGGATGGATGGATGTATGTATGTATGTATGTATGTATATGTAAGTACGTACGTACACATACATATGCATGCATGTATGTATGTATGTGTGTGTAGGTGTGTGTATGTATTCATTTGGTGTACCTATATGTATACACACTGCACCGACAAAACCTATGAGTGTACACATGCGAACGCACATGCAAATCCATAGATGTACACAGGCAAACAGATACAGACATATATCAGGGTGAGGTGGCCGAACGGTCATTCACTGTCCCTTGGTCCGTAGCTGAAGTGGGCTTCCGCGGTGCGGATTGTTGTTTCCGTTGTTTGTTGTTTGTTGTCGATGTCCCGCCCGCAACCCGGCCCGCAACCCACCCGCGACCCACCCGCGACTCACCTGCGACCCACCCGCGATCCTGCCCGCGACCTACCCGCTACACACTCTGCGACCCACCCGCGACACACCCGCGATCCACCCGCGACCCATACCGCGTCCCGCCCGTGACCCGCCCGCGACCCAATTGCGCCGCGGAATCACAGCAGATCGGCATCGCGGAATCCCACTTCAGCCACGCACCCGGGGACAGTGAATTATTTTTCGGCCCGCGATTCGGCCCGCGACCCACCCGCGACCCACCTTGCGACCTGCCCACATTGCTTTAATAAATAAAGCGGCGCCTGCGGCGGGCTCACTGCATAAATTGTAAAAGATAGGCGCCTACGGCGGGCTTCTTCAGAGCCTCGCAGACTGCCGACGTCCTCGCCGCCCCACTCACTCTCATCCGCAGCTGTGGGGTGCTACGTATGTAGCACCCCGCAGTTGCGGATCCGATCCCTCGCATCCTCGAAGCGCACACCGAAGCGCAGGGCCAATCTGCTCCCTCGCATCCTCTCTGATATCCGTGACAGGCCTCACCAGTGGGTGAAGGACGAGTGCGAGGGCTTCGCCGACATCGTCCAGCTTTGCCAGTGGCTCACGCTTGCCGCCCGCGACTACCGCGCCACTCCGTTGGGGCTGGTGGCCCCGGGCCAAGTTCGTCAGCGAAGGGCGGCCCTCCTTCACTAGTTTGTGTTTGAGCCCCCATATGTCGTTCTCTCACTCTCTCTCTCCCTCTCTCTCTCTCTTTTTGGTTTTCTCTCTCTCTCTCTCTCTCTCCCGCTCTCTGTCTAGCTCTCTGCCTGCCTGCTTATCCTTATGTTTTCACTTTCTCTGTTCTTTCGCTCTCTCTCTCTCTCTCTCCCTGTCTGCTTCTCTCTCTTATTTCTCTCTCTCTCTGCCCCTCTGGCTCTCTCGTTCTTTCCCTTTCTCGTATCGTTCCCGATCACTGTGTGCAACTAGACATTGCACAATGCTGCATGAATTCATTTGTTTTTGATCTCTCTCTCTCTCTCTCATTTTTTTTTTTCTCTCTCTCTCTCTCTCTATGTCTCTCTGTCTCTGTCTCTCTGTTTCTCTGTCTCTCTCTCTGCCTATCGTCCTACATCTGTATACAAGGGGCACATACTTGCCCAGGCACACAAAGAACTGCAGTGCGTAAGCATCGCAGGGACTTGCGAAGAAGAGGATACCAAGTCGGATCTGGGGAGGATGAAGTGGAAAGAGATGGAGAAGCAAAGGAAGGCGAAGAGGAGGCGGATACTACGGATCATCATGAGGCGGCAGAAGCAGCAGCGGGGTCGCAGTCGAACGCAGGTTTGGTTGCCACAAATTGCGACGCGTGTGGCGCAGGAGGGTGTTGCACACCATACGATTGCAATTGGAAGGAAGTTCCTCAGCTAATTCTTGGAGGATGTCTCGAGCAAAAAAATATGTCGAAATATGATTGGGCCAACTTTGAATGTGTTGGGGATGTCTTGCGCGAAACGGCTGATTTTCAACGAGCGACGCCCAAACTAATTGAAATCCAGTGTGTCTTTGAAGGTTTTAATTTTGCTTAAGCGATGAAAACGCCATGTGGTTTGGGACCCTGAGGGGCGCATTCGATGTTTCAGAAGTTTGAGGATGTCCCGAGCGACGCGGCCAAGCGAATCGCGGACGGGACCGGCCTCAATCGATCGCTTGCGGGTTCTAGCCCTTCGGGGAGGTGCGTCTGATAATACATGTACATGTCTATGTACGAGACTTAAGTGGCTCTTCTCGCCACGCACCCTGGTCTTTCATGGTTGGCATGCAGACGAAGGAGCGGACACACAGCGCACAAACATATAATTCACAGTTGCGTTTTACGGCATTGTCGCCCTAATATTTCGATGCCTTCTCCTTCCCTCATGGTACCTTTTCTTCTCCCTCATTTTCTCCCTACCCTGCGAACACGTTCCCCCGATCCCCAGCTCTGCTTTACGGAGGCTCCTCCTTGGAGAGCTTCTTGGGGGCCTCGCGGATACGTTTCAGAACAAGGCCTGGGTTTGGAGCCTCGGCCCTGCCGCGGTGTTGGGTTTTGCTCCTTGCCTCGCCTGCGGGTCGTTGCTTCAGTGTCTTCGCTCGCTGGCCCTGGGGGCTGCATGGTCTGCGTTCTGTCCTATTTCCTGGTGGCACTGTGTAGTTTTCTTGTTACTTTGTCCCTGGGCGTGTTGAGCTCGTCGACCTTTTGTTTCATGTTTCTATGGATCCTGGACTCTGCTTTAAGTCCGTCTCCTTCTCTGCCCCTGCTGCTGCCTCCCTCGCTTGCGGGGGTTGGTGCGCTGCTTGGGCCTTCGTTTTTTCTTTGCCTGGTTCTTGTGTTCCCCGTGCTGCCCCTCTGCTGCTGTTGCCGTCGTCGCTGGTGCTGCTGCTGTGCGCCCTCTCCTTTGTGCCCCCCTGCTGCTGCTCCGCGGCGCCGCTGCCGCTGCGTGCCGTGGAGTCTTGTTGGGTGGGGCCCTCCTGGCTTGGGGTGAGGTAGGGAGCGTGCGTCGGCGCGCGCGAGAGAGTTCGGCCGCCCCTCTGCCCTTCCGCCGCACCCGCGCCGCGCCCGTCGACGAGGTACCGCGCGCCCCTTCTTTTAGGGGACAGGATCAGCAGTGCAGCTGGGTCCCTCCGCGGGTCTCCCGCCCCAGGCGCAGGAGGGTGTGTGGCGACTCTGTCCTCCCCCTGCGTCGAGTGCACCCCCCCGCCCGCAGACGTGGCCCTCGCCACCTCCGTGGGCCGGCGGCCCCGCGGCGACGCCCCCGCGCGCGAGGTGCCTCGGTGTCGCCGTGCGGAGGGCAGGTGCTGACGTTCGTCAGCCAGGTGCTGAAGAACGTCAGCACCATGCCTCCTGACGAACGTGAAGCTTGACCAGGTGCTGACGTTCGTCAGCCAGTGCCCTCCTCGTCCCTCCTCCCGCTGCTGCTGCCTCCTCCCCCCCCTCCCCCTCCATTTGGGCGAGTGCCCGCCTGGCGGCGCGTCCCGACAAGGACTATGGATGATGGAGCGTGGCGCGTGTGTCGCGTGGGGAAAAAAAGCTTCCTTTCCTTTTCCCCTTCCTCCATTCGCACTCCTTAAAAATAATTCATCCGCGTCGCACTCCCTGGCGTGCTGGTAGGGCGGCCTGCGCGTTTCGTCTGATTTTTTGCTCTGTGCATGGTTATGCAGCTCGGAGCCAACAGGAGCTTCACGGATGGAGGGTGCCCCGCTATCAAACTGCTATTTTCGCCATCGCGCCGCGTTCATGTGTTTTCAAAGCCTTGCCACAGCCTCAAGCATGGACGGCGGGCCGTTTTTGATTTCTGGTTCGAGATTTTGTTTAAACCGCCCACCCCCGCAACGGTTGCCAGGGGAGGCCCAGCCCCCCCCCTCCCCTGGAACCGTAACGATCGCGCGGCGGGCGGTGGCGCGAGCGCCCCCCCCCGTGCGCGCGGCTGTCGCGGCGCGCGCGCCGGCGGCGCACACAGGCGCAGCTGGGCGTGCGAGCATTGTGGTGTGCACTGGCACGGCTTTGCACGCGGCTGCTGTGGTGTACGCAGGCACTGCGGTGCGAGCAGGCGCCCTTGTGTTGGTGTCCAAGGAAGATAATGTTCCTCCCGCCCCATTCGTTTGTCCTCACAGGCCCCGGTTGTGCTCGCGAGCTACTGTTGTGTTTGCACGCCGCGACGCTCTCGGGCTCTTGTTTTGTCCGCGCATCTATTTGTTCGTGTGGCTCAAGAGTTTCCTTGGCTGAAGCATCTTGGCCCCCTGCTGCTAGTCCTCCTGCCTGTCTTGCATATATTCCCGATGCTTGCGCGTGGCCATCGCGGGCGTTATGTTGCATGCGGACGATGCCGCAGCAGCTGCAGCAGTCCCAGACATGATGGTGTTCGCAGGCAGCGACGCGCACAAAGGCAACGCGGTGCTCACATGCAGTGTCGCCCACAAACAGGGGGACCGCGCCCCAGGCAACAAAACTCAATACTCACTCATTACTACCGACGTTTTGACTTGAAACGCTTCGGCCCCCAAAAATTGTATGGTGTACGCGTGCGTACTAATGCACGCGGCCGATGTGAGTACTGTGCGCAGAGCGTTCTGATGTGCGCGGGCGTTGCCTGCGGGCTACACAGGCGTTGTGGTGCACTCGCGCGGCTACAGCGGTACATACGGCAACGGTTCTGTGATGCACACAGCTGTTGTGGCGTGCGCGTGGCACGTGGTTGACAGGCGTTGTGGTGCACGCGGGCCCTGCGAAGGCGCTCAGGCGCTCTAGTCTGGTTCACGCAGGGGCCGTGGAACACGCAATCACCGTGGTCTACACCAGCGCTGTTTTGGACATGGGTGTTGTGGTGTACACAGGCGCTGTGGTACACACAAGCATCGCCGTGTACACAGGCGCTGTGCTGTATACGGTTTCGTTGGTGTACGCGGGCGCTGCGGTGTACACATGCGATCTGGCAGTGCGGTGTTAACCAGCGTTGTCTTGCACACGGGTGCGTTGGTATACGCGTGCGTTGCGGTGTGCACAGGTGCCGTGTTGCACACAGCTGCTGTGGTGTACGCAGACGGTGCGGTGGGCAGAGGAACCGTGCACAGGCGCCCCGATGCACGCAAGTCCCCGCCCCCCCCCCCCCGCCCCACCCCAATCGTCACCGTTCCCCCCCCCCCCCTCCCTGGCCCCGCTTCCCGCCCTCAACGGACGCTACGGGCCCAGAATAGAAAACGATACCTCTTTTCTCGCCTTTTCGCCGCGCACATGTGAGTTAAATATTTGCAGTAGTTTAGTGGATGGAAAATGGTTTCATTTGTAATGTCGTTTTCGCTTCAGCGCCGCACACATTCGTCGGATCCGTTTGCAGCCGTTGAACGGACGGCGGGTCGTTTTGATAATGGGGTCCTCGCCGTAGCGCCACGCACATTCGTTTTAACAATTTGCAGCAGCTTCTCGGATGGAGGCCGGGTGGTTATCAACATGTGGTTTTCGTTTTACACCGTGCACATTGGGTCTCACGTCTTACAGCGGCTTCGAGAATTAGTATGGCCAAGGTCCCCGATATGTTGTTTTGCCACAGTTGGGGACGCAGCACTTACACTGCCTCGCTGTGCTGAAGTCCCAGGAGCGGTGCTCTTTCGGGCGCAACCCATCGGATACGGGGTCTCTTCCGGGCGCGACCCATCGGATACGGGGCATATTTTCGCGGATGCGCCGCGCGGAACGTATCCGTGCGACCGCATATCCGCGGGATCGTGCCCCGGAATGCAGACCGCGAAGGCGCGGATATTTGAATTGCGAACGCGCAACACTCATGTTGAACCGCAGCGCTGAAATGGAGAAAATTGCGTTTTGTCGCGATTGAGGATTATCAGATGTTGTTCTCTAGTGGGTCATTTCCTGAGTGGTAATGGTTTCTTTTGGGGACCTTGGGACGGAAGGTCGATTGCAACATCGTTGACGCACCTTGGATTTACACTGGTCCTTTTCTTCCTCCTTTTCCTCCTCCTCCCCTTCGTCTTCCCCCTCCTTCCCGTAGCCATTTCGGCTCAAGCCATCGTGGCTCAAGGTTTCAATTTTCCCTTGGGACAAAATAGATACCGCTAGTCCGCGGCCAAGTTCCAGTGTTTTTTGTTCAGGCATGTTCAGTCGAGTCGCGCGC